AGATAGATAGATAGATAGATAGATAGATAGATAGATAGATAGATAGAGTGGGGGAAAATAAGTATTTGACCCCTTGCTGATTTAGCAGGTTTGCCCACTTACAAAGAATGCCTATTTCTCCTCATCAGATGGTTATCAATTTTTATAAATTCACATGATGTGATTTTGTGGAATTTTCTTTGGGATTCTGTCTTTCACTGTTAGAATGTACATATGATTAAAGTTATAGATCGTTGCATTCTTTGTAAGTGGGCAAACCTGCAAAATCAGCAAGGGGTCAAATACTTATTTCCCCCACTGTAAATATAAATAGGGTAGGCAAGAATAAGCTTTGCTTCGGCCTATTCCTTTTTTGGTAAACTGTGGGTTTGTTTATCGTTCATTTCTTTTTTTTCCTTTTGTTGTTTCTTGTGTTTAATGTGGACAATTTACCAAAATAAAGTGATTGATTGATTGATTAAATATCGGGCCGATAACGTCTGCCTGTTTTTAGCAGTGGCGGACCGAGCGTTTCACACCTAGGCCTTCAGTAGTGCTCCGTCTGAATCAATTCAACCCTCAATAACTATTTTAATGGTTACAGAAATCATCTTATTATGTAGAAATAAAGTAGGGATGTCCCGATCCAGCTTTTTGTATTAAAGTTTAAAGTTATTTAGCTACTTACTTAGTTGTCAGACTCTTTGAACAGGGATTTACTCTTATAACAACTTAATGATTAGGACACAGACTTGTGGGTTAAGAGATGCTAATGCTAATGCTAATGTGGGATCGGACTTTTAAAAAAAATGGATCTGGAGTCTGGATCGGCAATTTCTCCTGCCGGCCGATACGATCGAAATATCGGATTGGGACCAGCCAAAAATACAGGATAAAGATCAGGGGTGCACACCCCCCCAAAAAAACAAAAAACATCAATAATATCCTCATAAACTCGCAATATTATTTAGGAAATAGGCAACATTTTACTCACTTAATGTTCTTGAAAAGTCCGTTTTGAAAATGGTCCTGACAGTAAATCTGCCACCAAATCATAAAATAGCTATTACACCAGCACAACTATATTTGGGTTTGTTTGCTAGCTTTAGCTGCTACGCTATCTGACTATCCAATCAGAGGGCAAAGGGCCCTGGTGTCTCCAAACTAAAATCTGATTGGTTAAAGCAACAGTTTAATCAACATTTATTTTCTGTTAGAGGGATTTTGTTAGAGGCCTCCAGGCAGACATCTTTGACTTTGACCCTGCCTAGCAACAAGTGATGGCTGAAATGTGATTGGTTAAATGCTTTAATATGAAAACACACGTCTGGAAGCAGCACAACCAGGAGAAAAGCTATGAAAGGAAGCGGAAAGATCCTTTGGAAATATTTAATAAGTGTTCATGGACAAAATATAATTAACATCAGTTTGTCATTCAGATATTTTCTTAGGCCTGCAGAGAAAGCTTTGCAGGCCCACGACTGGTTTTTAGTAATTTAGCTCGTTATCTAATAAGGGCCAGGCCGCCTTCTTACTGCTCGTTTTACTGTGCCCTATTCACACCGAGGGCCCGGGGTCTAACGTTACAGTAACCGGAGATGACAGGGCCACGCCGGGATGGAAAAGGCCAGGTTTACCTGTGGAGTCTAATAGGGCACCGAGCAGAGCCAAAGGAGCTCCTGTTTATTTTGGCTGACTATCGCGTGACAATAGAAGCAAAGAAAGCTGGTCTGTTTTAAGTCTGGAAGCTATAGGATCTTTTTGTCTTTTTAAGCCTATAATGCCAAATGTGTCATATTTGATACGGTTTCTGAAGTCTTTTGGATCTCAGACTTTTTGCATCATTCAGTGGTAAAAGCTTTGCTCAAACCCCTGTTGTACACATTCAGATATACCTGATAACAGCCAGTAGAAGACTACACCAACATATATTTTTGACTTATTGCGAGCTAATTTGATCAAAAATAATGTCTGTTTTTTTTCTTCATATGTTGTTGAGGGGCCAAAGAAAGACTTCAGACTAAAAAAATTCAATATTCTTCCCATTTTTCTTGGATCGGGCTTTAAAGCAAAAAAAAAACTACAGGAATAACTAGGATCGGATTAATTCACTTCAGTTCAATTTAGTTTTCTTAGTGTCTGAATGCAATTTAAAAAATACAGTACAAGTCAAGCCAATTAGAATCCAACTGTGTGTAATACCAGGAAAGGTTATTTACAGTGGGGGAAATAAGTATTTGACCCCTTGCTGATTTTGCAGGTTTGCCCACTTACAAAGAATGCAACGATCTATAATTTTAATCATATGTACATTCTAACAGTGAAAGACAGAATCCCAAAGGAAATTCCAGAAGATCGCATCATATGAATTTATAAAAATTGATAACCATCTGATGAGGAAAAAT